CCGCCACACGCAGCTGCCTCTGGGTCGTTAGCGGTTTCTATTTGTACCACCCCCCCTCCCCTCCGTCTCCTTCTCATCCTCCTCCTCCTCCTCCCCAACAGCCGCGCCGAAGGGATCGGATTTATCCCCGTCCCCACGCAGTGGCCGCCGTCTCCGCCGCGAACCGCGGGGTTTATTAATACAGTGGCTCGCGTCTCACACTCGGCACGGGGAGGGCAGTTTGCCCACGATGTTGATGGGCCGCCTCATATAATTTCGGCAACACTCGCCGTGTTTGGAAACCGGGGCTTAAGGGCGGCAATGCGGTTTTGCTGCGTGCTTCGTGTGCAATGCCGGATTAAGCTGGCGCGGGGGGCTCTTGAAAGTGCGGGTCCCGTAGCATATGTGGCTACTTTTGCTGCTAATCCGGCATCCCTCGTGGGTCTGCGAGGATGAGCAATCGACGACGCAGCGGGGCACTCGACCAGAGGTGCCCCATGCCCCATCACAGCAACTCGAAGCCGCACAGCAACGCCGGATGACTTCGGCACGGTGCAACGCGAACCATGAGTGCTGAAACTACACAGCATGAAGCATCAGCAGTTTTTGCAGAAGTGCATTGTGGTCAATTTTGTCTTAGGTCACGATCAAAATCAATTTGAGTCACTGTGTCTGGCTGATAGGCAGCAGTGAGACAGACAACTGTCGACCGCTTTCGCCAACATTAGGGCTCATCAGTGCGGCGCAGTCACCAATCGAGCAGTGAGAACCACAGGCTGACAAGGCGAAGACTTAATGTTGGTAGAGCCGCGTGGAGCATCCTGATGCAGGGTCACTGCATCGCGCGGCGCGTTCACGTGCACTCATGCGGCCGTCTGGAACGCTCTTCCGATATTAGAAAGCCACTGGGAGCTATATGCACTTTTAAATCCAGACTGACAACTCAATTCTTTAGACCTGTGCTTAGTTTGTCGTCTTTCCCCCGCACCTCCGATTAGCACGGTTGGCTACGTACGGTGCGAAAGAATTTCAACGTATACACGGTACATGCGAGAGCCTCGAATGGAGGTGCGGGCAGGGGCAGGCAGCAGCAGCAGCCCTGGCAGAGACAGCTGCACACGCCCTTGGCATGGCAAAGGCTCCTTGTGTGGAACTTGATATCACACGTCCGTCACAATGAAAGCCTTGCATTCATATTCACATGCATTGTGTTGCGACGCATTCCATCCATTCACATGCCACACTTGGATTTTCCTCGCGTTATGCAACCCGAGCACCTTCGTGCTGCTCCTTTATGAACACGAGGTTGTCCTCTTGACTGCCACTCAGTGTTAGGAGGTGAGGCATGGGGGGGCTTGACGCGGGTTGGGGGCGGGGGGGGGGGGCAGTTGTCCCATCGCTGTACCCCTGGCAGCACGTGTTTTCACTTCCACTTGAAATCAACACGCATTCTTGGGCCGCGGGCGGCACTCAGAGAGCGAGTAAAAATAGCACGAGGTCGCCACGTGCTCTCCGACCGGAGGTAAAGGTGGCCCTGTCGATACTGACCTACAGTCCTTGTCCCCCCCCACCCACCCCCCCTTCATAGAGACGCCGGGTTAATGTGAATATTCACTGCGCCCTGACTACACTCCGCCACATCCCTTCCGCTCTTGCTGCCAAACCGCAGGGGAGCAAAGAGCCAAACACGCCGCCTTCGTGGATGCCATCAACTGCACACGGAGAAGTTATTCGTGCACGATGGCTCCTGAAGAGACCAGATACAGCTGGCGCGCGGCCAGGCCTCGATGCTGCAGGCTTGCAAGCGACACCAAAGCCACATTCGTGGGTATAAAAAAATGTTGAGCAGGGAAATGAGCAACGTTCATAATGGGAATCTGCAGAACGCCTCCAAGTTGTCACTCACGAGCACAGCTGCTGGAATTTTGCAGACGTGGGAAGCATGAAACCAATTTCTCGGAATGGGTTTCTGGAGAGAAGTGTGCAGTGCCGTGTTGTTATTTGCCACTCCTGCCACGCTTCTTTGTAAACCTCTTATTCCACAAGCCACTCACCTGGCCCCCCTTGCTATATTGCCTGTGCTGGTCAGACACTGGGAAATCCTTATTCTTGGTTCTTTAGGTAAAGTCACGTAGACAGAAAATAGAAATGATAAAATAAAATTACATTTAAATCATTAAAGCAAAAAAATCCACGACGTTTCGATCGCAACACAAGCGGTCTTCATCAGGTGGAGAGAAAGGAGGGGGAAAAAAACCTTGTTTGCACAAATCCATTGCAAATTCTGGCACGTGGCATGAAACCACAGCTCACAAGCCATCAGAGGTCCCGTTCCACAGCGCCGGATCAGCTGCCCGTGGCTCGGCTCCAGCACTGCTGGGGTGTGGCCTCACCTGGATTAGGTCTCAATCTCACCTGGATTAGGTCTCAATCTCACCTGGATGTACTGTGCATTGGGAGTGTGGGCCACGTGTGTGCGCCTATTGTAGGAGCACGGGCCACGCTCAAGCATGTGACACGTGTAACGGCATGTACGCGAAAGCAGGGTGTTTTTAATTAAATTCGTAAAGGGCCACTGTTCAATTGGCTCCTCCACGAACAGTGCGGGTAAACAGTTCAACGTAGTTCATGATGCGCCGTGGGAGCCTCGCACAAGCACGAAGCGCCGCTGTGCTCGCACCGCGGAGCTCGACCAGCTCAAGGAGGGTTCACAGAATGCCGCTCCTGGAAAGACAGACGATAGGCCTGCTCTCCCCAGATACACCATTCGGTGACACACACACGCACACACACGCGCACACACACACGCACACACACGCACACACACACGCACGCACACACACACACGCACACACACACGCACGCACGTGTCTCACTGTGACTCTAGTCATTTGCCCTATCGGTCCCTTAAAGTCCAGTTCCCTGGGGGAACGGGAGGCAGTTGTATTGCTGAGAAGGATACACGCGCCACATTACAAGCACCCGAACTAAATATTTGGATGGTGGCATGCTACCGCTGTGTATCATGCCGTGAGTATGACCAAGCTAGTTACCACAAATAGTTTAAAATCCATTGCATTGTGCAAGCATGTACCAGTGCAACACTGTATTTTCAGATGAATTAATTCCAGCGCGTGATTTTAGGATCAGTATTGCGTAGTTTACTTGATCTGAGCTCATGCATGCGACTCGCATGTACAACTATCAGATGGTCATACGACCTTCACATCTGACGGAACACATTTCTCGGAATGACAGCACACCACAGGAGCCTCTGCATGAGATATTCCCAAACAGTGGCGCAAAACTCGGGGGGCACGTCACAGATTTCCCCAAGAGCGTTCAAGTTGCCATCGAACGTTCTGCGGGTGTGCCTTTACGCGACGGCTGCTCGGATATCACGCCGCGCCATCCCGATCAGCGCGGTTGGCTACGTACGGTGCGAAAGAAGTTCAACGTACGGTAACATAACAATCCCTGGTGAGCAGCTCCGCCCTACCCACACACTCACCCACGCGCCATCCTCGATCACAGTGCGATCCACTTATTCATGCGGCGTTCAGTCCATACATATATATATAGGCATATACTAACATAGCACAAACACTGGTATAGCCAGTGTTTATATAGACGCAAAATAAACACAAGTTATCAGAAGTGCTTGTGGGTTTTGGCAAACGGCTCGGGCAGCTGTTTCGTCCCTGGTTGTGGCCCTTTGGGTATCATAACTTCCGTAAACACCATGAGGTTTGCACAGTTCGGAGTTCAGGTGAAGCCCGTCTCGGTGACGATGGCGTGTGTCCAGCGTGGCCACGGCGTCCTCTTCACGTGACCCCGAGTCGCTCCCGGTGTGGGAGCCTCAATCACAGCATCGATTGGAGCTCAAGCAGCTCCACGGGGTGGAGCTGACAAGGGGTGGGAGGGAGGCAGAATTCCCACAGCGAGAATTCTCACAGCCACGATTCTCAGACAGGATTCTCACAGACAGGATTCTCATAGCGAGAAGTCTCACAGCCAGGATTCTCATGGCCACGATTCTCACGGCCACGATTCTCATGGCCAGGACTCTCTCATAGCCAGGATTCTCACAGCTACGGTTCTCACAGTCAGGATTCTCATGGCCACGATTCTCTTAGCCACGATTCCCTGCAATCCAAGCTCACACCAACAGCTGACCCAGTTGCTCAGTGTCTTTTTGTGAACCGATTAATTATCTTTACTTGCACAATTCTCATCATCTTGAACATACAGTAGTACCGCTGCAAAACTGTCACTCGGCACAAAACGCAGTCACTGATGGTGCCCTGCACCTATCCCGGTAGAGACGCAACTTCAATGAGTAAACACCAGCAGACAATGCCAGATAAACCACAGCAATTGGATCGGAAAGGCACATCAAGCGTAACAAATGGACATTTACGGACTGGGAGTCTTACCAGGCCAATAATGTTTACTTGAGTTGCATTGACTTCATGAGCATCATTATCATAATTAAATTTGACAAAAAAAGATGGTAACAAACCTGGCACAAGCAACATGAACAATACAGAGATGCCCGTATAGTCTTAACATACTTTTTGGACACGTGCTATTGGCAAGCACCTTTTAAAGGCACTCATTTGAGGCCGAGTCGACTTAGGCGAGGCCCAGGACTGGTTCAGATAAGCATCACTGGTGCTTGTCGTGAGCAGGAATCGAACTCGGGTGGCCAGATTCGTGGCGCAGCGCGCCAACTGCTCCCCCACCGCTCCTCACAATCACCACGCATGACGCGAGTGGCCATCGCTCACACGCACGTATTCAAGCCGCGCGAGGCGCCACTTTGCCGTGAGCCTCATGTGTGAAGCCGGCGGTCGTCCCCAGAGAGCGAGCGGCAGCACGTGGCACGGGACAGCTGCACGGCCGACTCCACGCACACCAGAGTTCACGTACGCACGTCCTGTTTTGGTTCTTTATTTCGTGACAAGTACAGAGCAGAAAAAAGCTTTTTGTGTCAGAAAATGTATAATCAATCCCCCTCCATGGCACCCCCCCCTCCTCCTTCCGTACTTCCTTCCCACACCACGACTCTTACGACATTTATAAAAGCAACGCTGAAATTTTTGCAATTTCAATACAAAAAAATACTTAAATTAAATCAGAGTTCCAATTTAAAATCACATCCCATTTGCAAACTAAAGCAGAATAAAGCTTTTGGAGGGCAGCAGAATGAGATCAGAAGCCGTTCAGACCTGAAGATGAACAAAAGCTACGCAACGACTACGGCTTCAGACTTCAAAAAATCTAGGCAGATTTGCGACGTGTTGCGAGAAATACTATCTTCGGGGAGGATCCGTGAGCTGCGCAGAAGTTGGCAGGCATGCCAGCCGAGGAGCCTGCAGTGGACCGATTGGTCACGTTAACACCAGCTACCCTCCCCCATGTGCTCACTTCAACGGACTGGTGACAGAGTTGAAGACTGGCAATGGTCCATTGAGAAAACCCACCCCATGCTGACGGCACAGCAAGTGCACTTGCAGGCAATGAATGATGCGGTGTTGACGTGCGGACAAGCAGGCAGAAGCCAAAGTGGCACTGTAGGAACGGCCCTCCGCTCGGTCCGACAGAGTAGCGCATTCTTAGAGGAACCTTTTCATTTACAGTGATGTCAAACTTTGAACCTGTATCGTAGAAAATGCCTGTATTCGCAAGAACTTCATGACTCTTTTGAGTCAAATTTTCGAGGTTAAGAATTTGATTACACTCCGCGATGCATTTGTACAGATGTATATCGTTGTTTGGATCGGCAAGGTATATCACCTAAATTGACCTCTCGTGAAGAGGTACGACTTCAGTGCAAAACTGAACACAATAAAACAAACGACTCAACCGTGTCCATTCCGGCTCGTGCCATTGGCGTGGCGCGCTCATGTCGACAACCGCCCTTCACGCCGCTCGGCTGCCGAATCGCCGCTGTAAGTTTTCCCTCCGAGAGGATTCGCACCATCCTGAAGCATCAAAGTCAAACGCACCATCCCAAAAAGACCCAGGCGTTCGAGAGCAAAACAGTAACGCAACAGTATACGGTTGGGTGCCTTCTATGTGTTTGAAAAAATTGTCAAGTTTGAGCAATAAATAAACAAGGCGTTGATTTTAACCAACGGGGTCCTTAAATGACAAGTGAAGAGCGAGTCCAGAAAGCCTCGATTCTCAAAACCATTCTTCCTTCGAATGTCTCACTTCACGCAAAGTGTTCCTCGTGAATTCTGCGCTTCATAAATATTCCAGGTTTGCGCCGAACTCCACGTGTCGCCCGCTCTTTAGGCGTTGAGTTTGTGGGCGACGGCGGCGTACGTGCCCGCGCGGCTGTGTCCAGGGGCACCTCTCAGCTGCACTTGCAGGACTTCACAACCATGTTGGACAGCTGCTCCACTTTGGGCGTTTTGCCCACGTAGTAGAGGATGGTGAGCGGCTCCAGCTCCTGGGGCACGCAGCACGGGGACACCGATGCCACCGGGTTGATTGTGTTGTACAGACTCAGCACCTGATGGCAGTGGAGGGGGGGGGGGGGGCACACAGGCAGGGAGGCGTCATGGGCCGGAGGAGAGTGGGAGGGAATATGGACAGGAGCAGTATCGGCACCCAGCCACAACGCCAAGCACAAAAACAACCTCTGACAATGGCCCGCAATTGAATAGTTCATCCATCCCACTATTAATGGGGCCAGGCAGCTCAGCGGTAGAGCAAGCGACTCGCAATCGGAAGGCTGAGAGTTCAAATCATGTTTGGGGAGGGGTTCACTCAAACCATGATCCCTCCGCGGTTAACAGTGTGATCGACTTGCCTCTGCCATAAGAGCCGGGTATTTACACCAGTGGCACAGGAATGTAAGGAGGAGATGATCACTGCCTCCGTGCTCATACGTCCAATGTAGTGTATGTACAAAATCAGCAAAAAGTGAATTGAACGAGACAAATCCGTTGACAATGAAGGAGGAATGGTGTGCACACATTACGAGCTGTGCTTAATGAAGCAGATGCGGTTGTCATATGGAATGCATTATTGGATTCATGGAGAAATTGAAAACGCAAACTACATCTCAAAACATCGTAGAAAACGTTGGGAAGTGCATCATGGGGAATGGAGGCATATATAACGGTCTTTGTTTCTTAAACTTAAATCAAATGCCCGATGTACTTGAGGATGAGTAAAGCGTTCCCTCGTTATTCGCGAGGGATATGTTCCGTAGATGCTGGTGAATATCACATTCCACGTATAATGATATTGGCCTACGAATATCGTACGCACAACGTCCGCAAGATGCTTTTGAAGCTTCGAGAAGTTCTCTCTCTCTATCTCTCTCATCGCTGTATCTCATCACTTTTTTTCTCTCTCTCTCTCGATGCAGCCATGAAGAGTTGCAGATGCGAGAATTGTATATAACCGGAGACCTTCAAAAATGGCCTTAGTCTTTTGGCAGACTTTTTCAGTCAGACCATTAAGAAAGGCTTCCCAGGTAAGTGCTTACAAGCACTCGTCAACTTGCATGACGGATAATAATTCATGTAATTTATTTATTCAGCCAGGCCTTGCTGAGTCACAAACTTCCCATTTTGAGAGTTCAGCATGGGAATGTTTTTCCAATACCAATTTAAGCAATTCTGTACATTTTGTAAAACACAACCCCCCCTCGACCCCCCTACCCTCCACCCCTCGCACCATTCCTTAACGTTGTTTCGCTTCATCTAAGCCTCATATTAACCCTTTCTCGTTCCAATGATGTGCATGTACAACATCAAGACGAGACTGGAAGAAAAACTAAAATAAAAATAACTTTATCGGTACCGAGGCTCCGACAGTGCCATGCGGGAGGGCGTGTGGCACAGCTTGATGGCAACAATCATAGAGTGCGGTCGTGTCGCTATAGTTCTCTGCAGTGAGTACAATGTCTTTAAAAAACAATGGCACTGCAACGCCTCTTTAAATAAAATTAAAGCCGAGCCGTTTGCGCGTTCCGAAATTCAGCGGTGAACGGGAACGGGACACCCACCCACCCACCCGCCCTCGGAACGGAAAGGGGGCTCATTTTTGGAGGGAGTGACCACGGGCAGGGGGGAGCCACTCACAGTGCTGTGCTGCGTGTTCATGCTCCACATGTACGGGCAGGGTCCCGCACAGAAGTTGGCGTGGTAACCCTGGGGCTCGTGGATCCAGTTCCATCCCAGGTCCTTACGGAAGTTGATGTAGAGGTGGCGCAGGCAGCAGTTGTCCTCCACGTTCCTGTCGACGGAAACAAAAAGTTGCCTTCCGAGCTCGGTCATGCTTCAGACCCGGCAATGTGGACACGCGTAATTGCCAACGCCTCGCACAAAGGAAGGCGAACTGCCCCAATTCCTCCCGAGATGTCAATGTGTCCTTTTGTTTATTGCGAAGGCAAGCATCCTTAATTCGGAAAATGTATGCAATGCTGATGAATGCAAATTGCTTGGTTACAAGAGCTCTTTCCCGTGTGTGCTTTTAATCAGCCCGTGTTTGTCTTTGCAAATACTGCACCTACGCGAGTGTGACCTGATGCCGGGGCTTGTGTTTTTTACAGTGCTCGATACTGTGAGTAAACTCCACTGCGTGCACGTACATCCAGCATATGGACATTATTACTTAGCTTGACGCACAGGACACAGTGGCTATTGTTCTGCTGTTATATTTTCCAGTTAAGTGGTCGGAAGGCTACCCCACCAAGCCAGATGAAGCCGGGCTGGGGAACCAGCATGATGTCATGCACGTGCAATGTAAACACCGCAGGTCCCCCTTGGCTAAGCAGATACAAGGCTGAGAAAATGCCAGGCTGGAGGGGCTGTGAGGTCATCTGTGGGTGGTGATCTGGGATTCTAAAATGTGGGATTTCGAAATGTGGGATATTAAACGCATGACGTCTCAGGGTTTGCAGGGGTAAGGGAATGTGTACACATGTAAATGCAGAGGGGGGGGGGGGGGGGCATAGAGACCATTCCTGACACCTGAGGGCTGGTTTGTTTTGAACTTGGGGAAACCACTCTCATCCGCCTCTTCCTCTACGATGTGCATTTGCTCTGCCCACAATGGGTGCAGTTGTTTCTACCGCAGGAAATCAGCCGACGTACCAGGAGCAAGAGAGTATGATGGACGTACGTGTGCACGTTAAGCCGAGGGCATTTTGGCTCGAATGGAAATGCTAATTTAGCGACTTCAGGAAAACTGGCGGACACATTTGTACATTAATGAAATTACATGAGGAAAATCAATCGGGTAAACAGGCATCGTTTTACTGCTGTGTTTTCTTAAACAAACATTTGTGAGCCGTGTAATTGGTGACAAATTCCGCCGTTTACTTTCAAAGATGTGCCATTAGCTCTGCCCACGCTAGCAACCGTCAACACGGCCACGGAGCAGTCAACCAACAAGCACCAGATTGTCCCCGTGCCCAGCACATTTGCAATCGCACAAAGGCCCCCACTGTGCTGCAGCTTTTGGTTGGACGGTCAATCCGACGAGGCACGCGCTTGTGCCGCGCGGGGGAAACTGGCGGGTGCGTGGAAAGTGTTGGGCGCGTGCTGCTCCTGCTGGGCTTTCGGAGCGATGGGCGAGTGGTGTGGGGTGGGCTCTTGATGCTGCAGGGGTTTGGTGTGGGGGTGAGTGGTGGGTTTGTGATACTGCTGAGATTTCGTGTAATGGGCGAGTAGCGAGAAGTGGGAGCACACTGCTGCGGGGGATTAATGTGGCGGCGAGCCTGAGGAGTGGGTGCACGACGCTGCTGGGGTTGAGAGTGAGGGTGAGCAATGCGGGTGCGGGTTTACGATGCAGCTGGGGGTTTAGTGTGAGGATAAGTGGCGAGTGTTGTAAGGGAAGATAGCATATATATGGGACCTCTTTGCCAGCATAAAAACCATGACAAAACAAAACAACAGGTTGAACCCTCTCTGGCAATAAAAACACGTGTTAGGCCGTTCAAGTGGCTAAGACAGCCGCCGGCACTGGACTTGACGAACCTGAAGCAGTAGGCGGCGTCGAGGTCTCGCTTTCGCCGCGTGCCATGCCCGGACGACGACTGCGTGTCGTCCAGGCGGTTGCTGGGCAGCAGCATGAGCAGCAGGTGGGGACTCTGTCCCTGTGCCGACTTCCTGGCCTTGTCGCGCTTGTGCACGTCGGTGTCCACTCCTGCACACGCAGCACAGATCGAATGCGCCTTCGGTGACGCGGTACGGCCTTGCCCGACGCGCAGAAGACTCTAAACGTTACACCGAGCTGCTGAAACTTGGTTTTATCATAGAGGTCGCAAATACGTGGCGCAAGTAAAAATGTCATCTTTTCAGGGGCGGGGGGGGGGGGGGCTGGATCCTTGAAAGGAGAGATTGGATGACTGGGCATAGAGGCACGATAAAAGCAGAGGTGATAAGCATCTACAGAGAAGTTGCGCTTGACCACCAAAGCTGATGAGTATGATGTCGACGAGTACAATGCAGACGAGTACATGCTGACGAGCATGCTACAGACACTCCCGCGGAGAGGACTGCACGTGCAGCATTTGTCAAAGCAAGGGTTTATACCGCTGTACGGCACAGAGGGCGATTCCGTGGTATCCCCCCCGTGGGTACGCGCCAAGGGGGACACGGCGCACGAGCGTGTTCATTCGTCACGTTCACGCGAAGCGCTGGCAAAATGTGGCACAGGGCGCAATGCGCATACGTACGCACAGCATGCAAACGCGCGCACACACACACACAGAGACAAGGAGAGGCTTAAAGAGGAGCACCTCTTTCTACCTGCAAACCTCGCTGCCAGCTCCTCGCTCCGGTTTGGGATGATGTTGTTGTTTGACGTCACAAAGGTGCAGCATGGGCAGTGGACGCTGATTTTAAACCCGAAGTTGTTGTCTGCAATGAAAAACGCACGCGGCCACCTTTAAAACGGACACTCGCGGTCCCAGAAAAATTCTCACGAATTTTTTTTTCTTTTTCGGCGGCGTCATCGAGCACCGGCGATGACGCCGCGGGGTAGGTGGGGTGGTGGTGGGTGGGTGTTGGGGGGGGTGGTGGTGGGTGGGGTGGTGGGGGGGGTGGGGGAGGTGGGGGGGGTGGTGGGGGGTGGTGGGGGGTGATGGGGGGTGGTGGTGGTGGGGGGTGGTGGTGGGTGGGTGGTGGTGGTGGGTGGTGGTGGTGGGTGTTGGTGGTGGGGGTGGGTGGGTGGTGGGGTGGTGGGGGGTGGTGGTGGGGGGTGGGTGGGTGGTGGTAGTGGGTGGTGGGGGTGGGTGGTGGTGGGAGGTGGGTGGGGTGGTGGGTGGGTGGTGGGTGGGTGGTGAGGGGCTGGTGGTGGGTGGGGTGGTGGGGGTGGGTGGTGAGGGGTGGGTGGTGGTGGGTGGGGGGGTGGGTGGTGTTGGTGGGTGGTGGTGAGTGGAGGTGGGTGGGGTGGTGGGCTGGTGGGTGGGTGGTGGGTGGTGGTGGTAGGTGGTGGTGGGGGGTGGTAGTGGGTGGGGTGGTGGTGATGGTGGGTGGTAGTGGGTGGTGGTGGTGGGGCTGATAGTGGGTGGTGGAGGTGGGTGGTGGGTGGGGTGGAGGTAGTGGGTGGGTGGTGTGGGGGGGTTCGCCGAGTGGCTGGTGGGGCGGCACGAACCGCGGCGACGCAGCCACTCCCCGACGGTGCCCGTGACGTCGAAGGAGAGCCACTCGGCCTCGGCGCGGGGCCGCACCACGCGGCTCGTGATGTAGCGCTGCGACGGCGCCCATGGGTCTTTGGACTTCAAGATCTGAAATGGGGGGGAGGGGCGATTAAAATAAAGGGGGCCGTCCATAAATGACGTCACGCGATTTGACGATTTTTTTGCACTCCTCCCCCTCGTCACACAAAGTCAGACCCCCCCTCTCAAATATGACGTCACAAAGCTCTGCCCCCACCCCTCCCGAAAACCATATTTCCATTGTGAAAAGAAAACATGCTTCAAATCGCTTTAAACTATTGTCATTGTAGTGCGTATTTAATGTGACGCTGCACTCTGATGTTGTAGGAGTGTTGTTATAACAATTCTATATTTATTGAAAGTTGCGCATTTTGATGTGACGTCACATTTCTCAAACCCCCCCGCCTTGTCACACATCGTCACAAATGTCTGACCCCCCCCCCCAGGTGTGTGACGTCATTTATGGACGGCCCCAAAAGTAAATTAATACAACCACTCCAAAAGCCATTTAAATGGCGTTCCATGCGACAGGTCCATGGGTGCATGTGACGTGTATAGTGGGTGGAGGGGGGGGATGCGTGCGTGATGGGTTCATGGGGAGCGTGCGATGCGTGATCTGTGATCTGAGATGAGGGCACGTGATGTGGTCACAAGGGCCACACGATGCATCTGTCTGGGGCATGCGTGAAACATCCTCTTTGGGGGCACAGTGCGTCTATGATGTGTGCTTGAGGTGAGGCCACGTGGCCTTGCCTGGTAGAGCTCTATCCGCTGCTCGATGAGCTTGGCGGCGGGGTTTGGGAGGCGTTGCACGCGCAGCTCCGCCTTCACCAGGTTGCTCGCGTTCTTGTTGAACAGAGAGAGGTTGAATTTGAAAATTCTGAAGTAGTTGTTGTGGCTAATTTGTGGCGCTTTATCTGCACAAACAAAAGGTGACAAAAACATAATTACCAAGAGCACATGCCGATGAAACTTGAGTTGAAGCTTTCGTGACTGCAGGAATTAATTACTCTTTGGTTCTTTCGGTAAAGTCACGTGGAAAGAAAATAAATTAATAAATATAATACGACGTTTCGATTGCAACACAAGCAATCGTCATCAGGTAGAAAACAAGGTGCTGACTGTTGTGTTAGCCGACTCTCTGTGTTGGATCGCATTATATTTCTAAGTTCACTAGGTTTGTTTTATACCTAATGACGATTGCTTGTGTTGCAATCGAAACGTCGTATTCGATTATTACATTTATTTTCTTTCTACGTGACTTCACCGAAGGAATCAAAGAGTAAATGCAATTAAATGTAACTGCAAGTCATTTTACAATGTCAATGTAGATGTGGTGCATGGGTAGAGTGACCACTCCACTGTGTCAACCGAGTTCAATTCCTGGCCACGCCTAACATTGGCGGTGAGCAGAACGTTTAACCAGTCCAGCCTTCCCTCAGAACTCATCCTCACGAACCCACACCGACCGGCGTGGTGAAGTATGGCCAAATTTCGATTTAAAGTTTCGTGACTGCAGGGATTCATCTTCTTGGTTCTTTCGGTAAAGTCACGTAGAAGGGAAGTAATAAAATAATAAAAATAATTATTATGTTTTATTTTTATTATTTTATTACTTCCCTTCTACGTGACTTTACCGAAAGAACCAAGAAGAAGTATGGTCAAACAACCACATGGCCGACACATCAGGAGGCCTTCATCTAGTAGTGAATTGACAAAGGGCTGTGAATTCAATCGTGACGCTACCTGCTGGGCCATGTACAGATTATCCACGGCTTGAACGTGGTTCATGTCACGCAATGCACAGTGGCGGGGACAGTGCTCGTACCTTTCCCTCTGGGGATGCCTTTGCTGAACGTGGCTTGAGAGCAGTGGCCCACCTCACCGTGGAATCCACCACCTCCGCATTTACAACCTTCGCTCAAGAGCACGCGCACACGCACACACACGCACACACGCGCACACACGCACACACGCACACACGAGAGGGCACCAGCCAGTCACCACGACGCGATGGTAATGTCACACACCCGGGGGAACGCAACATCCATCGTTCCTCTCGATACAGCTGCGGCCCTTAGTCACACGCGTACTCCAGTATACAAGTGACACAGAAAGGAATCGGTGAGATATTAAGCCCCAAGCACATCCATAGTGACTTGACCCTGTTATTTGACTATTTTAGGGGCGTCCTTCCAACAATCCTTCATGGAATTGCTCGAATATCCTCATGCAGAACCCCAGGATTTCCTGGATAAAGGATATATTATTATTGCACTTTCATTCAGATGGCTCATTAGTACGTGGAGATGATGGTAATGAAGATGATGTTGGAGATAGGATTCCTGGCCATACACAGGAATTGGTGAATCTGTGCCGTGGATTTTTCGGGACCTCGTGGGAACAAACATAACTCGATGTGAAGAATGTATGACGCGGTCACACGGCAGTGTGCACCGAGGATCCCACACACACACACACATGCAGACACAGATGTGGTGCAACAGCACGTGTATAACGCCCAAAGCGAATGCTGGGGCAGAGGTCAGCGTAGAGCAGGGATGGCCCTTTCAGACGGAGGTGTGGTCCAGATCAGGGCCCGAGCTAAGTGGGGCGGTGGGGGGGGGGTCCTTGGATGCAAGACATTGGGGGGGGGGGGGGTCAGGCTGGGCTGGAACCTCCGTGACGCACTGCGATGGATCGTGCCAGTGAGGGCGCACGGTGCGAAAACACACGGCCAGTGTAGCAGCACAGCCTACGCGCCGTACGGCACAGAGCGAGACCTTCAACACATTTCTAACACTGCAATTAAACGATTGCTCCAGGACCCTCGTGAAAGAAAAAAACCCCCAAACACTACGCCAAGTGTGAGCGCCGATAGGAGAGCGAGCTCTGGGTCTGGTTGCGTCACGAGGCAGTCGGGAGGGGGGTCGCTTGCCCAGCACGGGGACACGCGGGGTTCCCCGTGGAGCACGGGGACACGCAGGGCTCCCCCGTGGAGCATGGGGACACGCAGGGCTCCCCCGTGGAGCACGGGGACACGCAGGGCTCCCCCGTGGAGCACGGGGATACGCAAGGCTCCCCGTGGAGCACGGGGACACGCAGGGCTCCCCCGTGGAGCACGGGGACACGCAGGGCTCCTCCGTGGAGCACGGGGACACGCAGGGCTCCCCGTGGAGCACGGGGACACGCAGGGCTCCGCCGTGGAGCACGGGGACACGCAGGGCTCCCCCGTGGAGCACGGGGACACGCAGGGCTCCCCCGTGGAGCACGGGACACACGGGACAGAGATCCATCCCTGCTCTGCATGATCTAGCGATCTGCTGCGAGGCTAATGCTCCACTCCCCTCAATTTGCCTGCGGCAAGAATATTCGCAGATGGAAAACGCCAACACGGAGGCCCGGAGCGCCGCCGCTACATTCACGTTGTTAACGACACAGTAGTAATACGCGTTTTAAACCCACTCATGACACTGTAAGCTGTGGGGTTTCGTATGTTAACCTTGAGTTAATACAGTAGCAATAAAAACAAGTCCAGTAAAGATCTTGATTTGAAGCTTTCGTGACTGCAGGGATCCATAATCTTTGGTTCTTTCGGTAAAGCCACGTAGGTAAAAAAATAATAGATCACGGCGTGATGACGATTGCTTGTGTTGCGATCGAAACGTCGTAATCCATTATTATGTCATGATAATGTTTCCAGTGCAGATGTTACGGTCTTCTCACCAAAAAGCTCAAGGTTATGAAGCACGTCGGAGAGAAGCTCGTAAACTCTTCACGCTGTCAAAGAAGCCGCTTGTGCAAGGCTCCTACTGCCAAAGAATGTCTTCTACCACTGCTGCCGCCGCTCGCGTCGCTGGCACAACTGTTGCCCAAACTCCTGCTGCTACAAAGCGCGAGTGGTTACTGCTGGTAGAGAACCACTGCTGTAGTCCCTCAACCGCAAGCCTCACATCTAACAGCATCAGAACTCTCACCCCCCCCCGCCCAGCCTGGTCAATAGAACCGTAGTTCATTGCACTGGACTGCACCACTGCTAACACTTAGCACCAAAGACCCCTTGTATAGCCTTGACAGACTTTTGGGGCAAGTGCTGTTAGCGAGCCCCTATGAAGCCCGGCACGACACAAAAGGGGGTGGGTGGTCAGCACTCCGTGGCAACATTTACACACCGCACTGGTTACTCAATTTGAGGCTGAGTCGACCTAGGTGAGGCCCAGGACCGGTTCAGATATTCTTTACCGATGTTGACCACGAGCGGGAATCGTACTCTGATCGCCGGGTTTGTAGCGCAGTGCGCTACCGCTCCACACACACCAGAGACACCATGCACACACACACCTCTAATCCCATCACAAATAGCAACTAATGCGTGTGAGGCCATGTGGGACAAGCTCTGTAGGCGCAAGCCACGAGGAGGAGGTTCGGCAATGTGATGGAGGCCTATGTACAGGTAGGTGGCTGTGGGATGATGCACACAGACCCACAGACAGGGGGCATGGGCAGACACAATAATGGACACAAGACGGATATATACACGGACACGGATAAACAAAAGACTCCCCCGTATACCCACAGAGGGCTGTTGACAAGCACATGCTTTTTTAAGGGATTCGACTGAGTGGTGTGGCCAGAAACACGTCCGGGTGCATGCGTCTCCCGCAGTGTCGGCGGTGGCCTAGAATTGAACTCGGGGCGCACACACAGAGGTCTGGAAGAGCCGCATCAAGTCAGCGGTCGGTGAATCCAGCGGTGGGAGGAGAGAGCTTTGGGGGGTGCAGTTGCGTCCCCAGAAATGTTTAGACGGGGCCGTTGAGATCCTGATGGCAATTGAAAGTCAGAAAGGGTGGGTAATGGTTTTCAGTCGAGTTGAATTCACCAATGCGCGGGACGTTACCCTCATTTCTCAGTTGCAAGATATAAAGGTGCAGCCCTGCAAATGACTCGCTCAAGCCACTGCTGGAGGGGAGCGATGGTGGGCATTTGGCCTACTCTTCCACACCGATCTAGACGTCTTGGAAGAGGTGCCCGTACCCGCACTTTTGCCCCAGGCCCCCTCCACCAGCTGCTGTGCACACAGCGGCAGCTCCCGTCGCTTCTCACTTACAAAGTGAAACGCGTTCGTGTTTATTGATAGACACGCGTCTCTATGTCCTGCAAACCGGTAACCGGGCTTAACCGGTTTTCTTTCTCGTGCGGTGACCGCTCATGCGAAGACACAACAATTGAAACCGCCCTGTTTCTAACGATGTACCGTATGTTCTATGAGTTAGCAAGTTAGGTAAACACATTTCCAACGTAGAACTCTTGGTGGAAAAGTTTCCCTCCTCCAAAAATGGTTATCTGGGCACAGCACTTGATAAGCAGGTATAGACACAGAGACACCCAGGTAAACACAGGTAGGTCAACAGGTGGGCACAGAGCGAACCACTGGTAAACACACACACACCGTGCACAGACACACATCGAGGCAAAAAACAAATGAAAAGATCCCCCGTATAGGCCTAACAGATTGTTGGAGGCAAGTGCTGTTAGAGGACACCTGCAATTATGAGGCCAGGATAGCACACGAGGGGGTGGGTGGGTGGCCAGCACCACGCCCGGCCGCCTTTGCCTCCCCAGTGGTTACATTTTACACACCACACCAGGTACTCATTTGAGGCTGAGTTGGCCAGGTAGGCACACACAGGCAAACAGACACAAGTAGGCAGAGGCAGACACGTACACACAGGTAAACACACACAAGTAGGCAGAGGCAGGCACGTACACACAGGTAAACACACACAAGTAGGCAGAGGCAGGCACGTACAGACACAGGTAAACACACACAAGTAGGCAGAGGCAGACACGTACACACAGGTAAACACACACAAGTAGGCAGAGGCAGACACGTACACACAGGTAAACACACACAAGTAGGCAGAGGCAGACACGTACACACAGGTAAACACACACAAGTAGGCAGAGGCAGGCACGTACACACAGGTAAACACACACAAGTAGGCAGAGGCAGACACGTACAGACACAGGTAAACATACACAAGTAGGCAGAGGGAGACACGTACACACACAGGTAAACACACACAAGTAGGCAGAGGCAGACACGTACACACACAGGTAAACACACACAAGTAGGTAGAGGCAGACACGTACACACACAGGTAAACACACACAAGTAGGCAGAGGCAGACACGTACACACACAGGTAAACACACACAAGTAGGCAGAGGCAGACACGTACACACACAGGTAAACACACACAAGTAGGCAGAGGCAGACACGTACACACACAGGTAAACACACACAAGTAGGCAGAGGGAGACACGTACACACACAGGTAAACACACACAAGTAGGCAGAGGCAGACACGTACACACACAGGCAAACATACACAAGTAGGTAGAGGCAGACACGTACACACACAGGTAAACACACACAAGTAGGCAGAGGCAGACACGTACACACACAGGTAAACACACACAAGTAGGCAGGCAGACACGTACACACACAGGTAAACACACACAAGTAGGCAGAGGCAGACACGTAGGTACATAGGTGAACAGGTCGTGACAGATAGGCACACACCGGTAATGCATGCACAGGTAACACAAGTCGGTGCATACAGGTAACACAGGTGAACACTACACGTAGACACAAGTAGCAGGCACACACACAGGTGAACACGTACACACAGGTTAGCAGGCACACACACAGGTGAACATGTACACACAGGTTAGCAGGCACACACACAGGTGAACACGTACACACAGGTAGAAGGCACACACACAGGTGAACACGTAGCCACAGGTAGCAGGCACACACACAGGTGAACACGTAGACACAGGTAGCAGGCACACGCACAGGTGAACACGTAGCCACAAGTAGCAGGCACACACACAGGTGAACACACAGGTGAACACGTAGCCACAGGTAGCAGGCATACACACAGGTGAACACGTAGACACAGGTAGCAGGCGCACACAGAGGTGAACACGTAGACACAGGTAGCAGGCACACACAGGTGAACACGTGCACGTAGACACAGGTAGCAGGCACACACACAGGTGAACACGTGCACGTAGACACAGGTAGCAGGCACACACACAGGTGAACACGTGCACGTAGACACAGGTAGCAGGCACACACACAGCTGAACACGTGCACGTAGACACAGGTAGCAAGCACACACACAGGTGAACACGTGCACGTAGACACAGGTAGCAGGCACACACACAGGTGAACACGTGCACGTAGACACAGGTAGCAGGCACACACACAGGTGAACACGTGCACGTAGACACAAGTAGCAGGCACACACACAGGTGAACACGTGCACGTAGACACAGGTAGCAGGCACACACACAGGTGAACACGTAGACACAGGTAGCAGGCGCACACACAGGTGAACACGTAGACACAGGTAGCAGGCGCACACACAGGTGAACACGTAGACACAGGTAGCAGGCACACACACAGGTGAACACGTGCACGTAGACACAGGTAGCAGGCGCACACACAGGTGAACACGTGCACGTAGACACAGGTAGCAGGCGCACACACAGGTGAACACGTGCACGTAGACACAGGTAGCAGGCGCACACACAGGTGAACACGTAGACACAGGTAGCAGGCGCACACACAGGTGAACACACATGATGAGGTAGCGACACCAGCAGCGGCACCAGCAGCGGCGCCGGGCGCGGGGAGCCCTTACTGTCGGCGGGCGCGTACAGGGGCATCATGTCGAGCTTGTGCACCTCCTTGCCGTAGTAGCCCTCCTCTTGCGACTCGCGCTCGCACGCCGCCTCCTGCTGCTGCTGCAGCTGCTGGAGCAGCAGGTCCCGAGTGCTGTTGAAGAGCGCCAGCACCTGCTGGGGCACCTCGCCCGGACCGAGCTGCTGCTCGGGCGGACTGGTGAGCTTCAGCTTGCTCAGGATCTGCCCGCGCACCGCCTCGATGCGTCTCCGCTTCAGCACGTCCATGTCCATGGAGGCGCACGTGGAGGAGGAGGCGCACAGCCCCTGCAGGGCGCAGCCCAGCGCCACCACCATCACGGCCAGGACGCGAACCCGCATGGCCCCGGCTGGCGGGGCTGGCGGGGGTGGCGGTGGTGGTGGGGGAGGTAGGAGACGCTCGCTTGGTGCTCGGGGGGGATGTGGGGACGCGGAGCGCGGCGCCTAGGGGCGGCCCCGTGGCCCGGGAAGAGGCGCAGAGGGCACGGCTCTAGGCGCGGGGCGCAGTGCCCCTCGCTCCTGCGCGCGGGGTCGCATGGCGGGGGACGCCCCACGCAGAGTCACTCCGGGGCCCGGGGCGGCCAACTCGAGCCGGGGCCGTGGGGAGAGACGGCGACGGGTTGGAGCGCATTCCTCCTTCTCTCGTCCTTCTCCTTGTACAACCTCCTCCTCCTCCTCGTCGTCGTCGTCACCCCTGTCACCCTCGGCCTGCTCGTCACATACCCCTGCTGCTGCTGCTGCAGGCAATGAGCAACGCGTGCCGCTGCAGCAGCGATTTATAGCGAGCGAGCCCTACGCCCCCCTGCAGCCTCCTCCTCCTCCTCCACCACCACCATCGCCCCCTCCTGCACGTGGAGCCGTGATGCGGGGGCGGGAGACCGCGACCCCGGCGGGTGTCGGGGTGGAGAGAGGGGGTCCCGAGGTGGAGCAAGGGGGTGGTAACACACCTCTCTCACCTGCTGTATGTAGCAATTGTTTTGTGTTTATGGCGCTCAAACAGCGCGAGATAAACAAAGGGTTAAGAGTGTTGTTTTCACAGTCGCAAGCCTCTCTTGGAGGATTGTTCCGTGTCAAATGGCATTGGAGGTGAGACACATGCCTATTAACTCCACGTGACGAGCGATTAACTTCAAACCCGAGCACTTTATTAACTTAGTTGAAGAAATACATATATTTCTTAAAATGTAAAGCAGTGGCATGGTGCACACCTGTGATCTACCGCTTTGGAGGAAAACACTGGTGGATCACTTCCATGTTTGTGAAACTTCCCCAAACCCACGGGGCTAAGGCCAAGGCGATGACAGGAGAGCTTGTGGGTTCGTGAATCTCCCTTCGAAGAACGTTTTTTTTTGTTGTTGGCTCATGTGGGCCATCTCTGGGTCCCAAAAGCTAAATATAAATAAAAAGGCCCGATACAGGATTCCCCTGAAATCGCAACACTCAATTATGCTTCCCCTAGTACAGGGGTCGGCAACCTACGGCTCCGGAGCCGCATGCGGCTCTTTACGGGCTGCTTCTTGACGATATGTACAGTATGTACTCAGATGCATTGCGGCTCTTGAAATACTGAATTTTGTACCGAATTGGAAAGAAATGGCTCTTCTTGTTATTTTGGTTGCCGACCCCTGCCCTAGTACAAGCCAATTGCATGACTTAATTTACTCAATATTGTTGGAGTGTAAATTGAGATCCTATTTGCAGGTCGTCTTGAGCTTCAATTAGCTTAGGGGCTTGGAGGCCACGTGTCAATTGGGCAGAAGGGAGAAATCGTTGGCGAGATGTGACGTCCTCGGATTTGGCCTTACTTTGATACTGATGATCTAGCTTAAAGGGGCAGGGGGTTGTCACATGCACAACCAATGCAAACAAAATCACTGCGAGAGCAACTTCAACAACCTTCACCGCACTCCCACCATTACCCAGTGAGGTTTACACCACAGTAGCACATGCTCCTCTGAACATAACGCACAGCTGGTCTTGGAAAGCATGAGCCAAGGCCCTGCCCATGACTTTTGAAGATGGTCTCTTTAAGGCTCAGCCACTCGCACAGCCGGTTCCTGGAGGGCCAGGGTTAGGCGCCACTGCATGGGAGGGCCCTGTTATTTCCGTGAGGATGACCCTACACACCCATCCCCATTGTCATAGGTGTTTAGGCAGCAGTGCGAGCATGGTGACTAATAACTGGAGGTTGGGTGGAGTGGCTTATGTCTGTAGGCTCAGTGTGCGACCACTAAACACACTGGTGGCGACTGCACTTACAGGAAGTCACGCCACTAGCCAGGTCACACACACACACGAGCACGTCCGCTGCGCTTCACACCTAGCGATGCAAACACCGTCAACGCTTTTCACAATGAAAATGTCTCAAAAATGTTTTATTTTTTGTTTATATACACAGAACTGGGAAACATGGTAAACCCAACCGAAAGGCGAAATGTGTCGACTGTCAGTATTTTAAAACACGGCCGTTAGACACTGTTGCGCAGGTATGAAGTAGATGCAGAAATTGCAGATCTCGCAGTGCCGTACGATGTGGGTTGGGGTGTGCGAGCGTGGCCCCGTGCGCACTAGTCCGACTCGCTGTCAAGCTCGTCCATCGGTTCCCCGTCTCCTCCACTCGCCGAGCTGACGCTCTCCTTGTCCCAGTCTTTCATTTTGGCTCCCATCATGAAGTCTTCTCGCAGGATGTTCCACGATGGCCCGCTCTGCTCACCCGCCTGATCATGCCACACAAGCACACACAAGCACACACAAGCACAAGTCCACACTTTAAAACCGTGTGCCTCTGTTGGGGAAATTGATGTCTTTTAGACCAACAGGCAAGGTACCTAAGAGGCCCATGTCCACCTGAAGAAAGCTACGACATAAGAGGAGATGTGAATGCTCACCCGTGTTCAATTTTATGATGTCACAAAAATCAAAGCCCCCCCATGCCCATAAAACTGAACGGAAGTTTTAACCAAAAAAGTGAAAACATTGCTTGGACATTTTTATTACTGCACATTGGAGTTTTGACAATTTTGTGCAGCTTGCTGAACTGTATGAATGCGTCTGCTGCATTGAACGGTGCCTGCGAAATAAGCGCCCCTAATCGCAGTATAAACCTCTCCTTTTTTATGTTTTCTTTGCCTAAAGAGAAAATGAATAGTTTGGTGCCGCCCTTCCTAACGTGGATGTGTTGAATTTCATCGCACACCGCTGCCTCGTCACCGGCCCAGATAAAACCAATATTGATTTGACAGCAGCAACCGCAACGGCCACAGCGGCCACAGCACCAGCAACCACAGCAGCCGCGAACCAATCCCGCTGGGGAAGGAACACATTTGCTCAATTAAGTGACAGCGAGGTCAGGTCCATGGGCAGGGCAGGGCACAGCAGCCGCATTGTGCACGAGGGAATGTCGCCTGTGTGACGGGGCCATGCTCTGCTCGCCCAGGGCAAACACCGGCCCACAGCTTTTCCGGCTGCAGCTGCCGCCTGCCCCGCCGGTCGGCCGGCTGGCGCGTTTAAGTCAGTGCTGCAACTGCGGGGGTGGTGTGCCCAATGGTCTGGCTCATCCCTGTCTGCAAGCACGTGGGCGGCTCCACCAAGATTTTCCAGTTAAATTAAAAATACCTGAGGACTACCTGTTTCATGTTAGACTGTAAATGCCAGTGTTGACTTGCATGGTTCAGTCTGAAGATATCATTCCACTGAATATTAGAGCTACACAAGCTCAGTCTCAGGAGTGAGCACATACAAGAGTAAAGGGAGTAAACTTTTGCCACCAAAAATTTGCCCACCAATTATTTGGAAGTGCTCCGACTGCTGATGCAGCCTCCGCACCATCGCTTTTAACAGGACTTTCTGACTCCCACCACCTCGTGACTTACGCTCGCCACCGATTGGCAGCTCAGGGCGATCGGGGCAGCCCCATGTGTATGTACAGGGCAGCTGCATGTGTGTAAAGGGCAGCCTCCTTTGTGTAGGTGTTTGGGAAGGGAAGCTTCCTGTGTGTGTGCGTGTTATCGAGAGGGCAGCCTCCTGCGTGGGTGTGTGCGCGGAGAGGCGAGTCTTGTGTGTGTGTGCTAGGAGGGCAGGCTTGTGTGTGTGTGCTAGGAGGGCAGGCTTGTGTGTGTGTGCTAGGAGGGCTGGCTTGTGTGTGTGTGCTAGGAGGGCAGGCTTGTGTGTGTGTGCGTGCTAGGAGGGCAGGCTTGTATGTGTGTGTGTGCTAGGAGGGCAGGCTTATGTGTGTGTGTGCGCGGTAGGAGGGCAGGCTTATGTGTGCGTGTGCGTGCTAGGAGGGCAGGCTTGTGTGTGTGTGTGTGCTAGGAGGGCAGGCTTATGTGTGTGTGTGCTAGGAGGGCAGGCTTATGTGTGCGTGTGCGTGCTAGGAGGGCAGGCTTGTGTGTGTGTGTGTGCTAGGAGGGCAGGCTTGTGTGTGTGTGTGTGCTAGGAGGGCAGGCTTATGTGTGTGTGCGTGCAAGGAGGGCAGGCTTGTGTGTGTGTGTGTGCTAGGAGGGCAGGCTTGTGTGTGTGTGTGCTAGGAGGGCAGGCTTGTGTGTGTGTGCTAGGAGGGCAGGCTTTTGTGTGTGTGCTAGGAGGGCACGCGTGTGTGTGCTAGGAGGGCAGGTTTGTGTGTGTGTGCTAGGAGGGCAGGCTTGTGTGTGTGTGCTAGGAGGGGAGGCTTGTGTGTGTGTGTGCTAGGAGGGCAGGCTTGTGTGTGTGTGCTAGGAGGGCACGCGTGTGTGTGCTAGGAGGGCAGGTTTGTGTGTGTGTGTGCTAGGAGGGCAGGCTTGTGTGTGTGTGTGTGTGCTAGGAGGGCAGGCTTGTGTGTGTGTGTGCTAAGAGGGCAGGCTTGTGTGTGTGTGCTAGGAGGGCAGGCTTGTGTGTGTGTGCTAGGAGGGCAGGCTTGTGTGTGTGTGCTAGGAGGGCAGGCTTGGTGTGTGTGTGTGCTAGGAGGGAAGGCTTGTGTGTGTGTGCTAGGAGGGCAGGCTTGTGTGTGTGTGTGCTAGGAGGGCAGGCTTGTGTGTGTGTGTGCTAGGAGGGCAGGCTTGTGTGTGTGTGCTAGGAGGGCAGGCTTGTGTGTGTGTGCTCGGAGGGCAGGCTTGTGTGTGTGTGCTAGGAGGGCAGGTTTGTGTGTGTGTGCTAGGAGGGCAGGCTTGTGTGTGTGTGTGCTAGGAGGGCAGGCTTGTATGTGTGTGTGCTAGGAGGGCAGGCTTGTATGTGTGTGTGTGCTAGGACGGCAGGCTTGTGTGTGTGTGTGCTAGGAGGGCAGGCTTGTGTGTGTGTGTGTGTTCTAGGAAGGCAGGCTTGTGTGTGTGTGCTAGGAGGGCAGGCTTGTGTGTGTGCGTGCTAGGAGGGCAGGCTTGTGTGTATGTCTGTGTGCTAGGAGGGCAGGTTTGTGTGTGTGTGCTAGGAGGGCAGGCTTGTGCGTGTGTGTGCTAGGAGGGCAGGTTTGTGCGTGTGTGCTAGGAGGGTAGGCTTGTGTGTGTGTGTGCTTGGAGGGCAGGCTTGTGTGTGTGTGTTAGGAGGGCAGGCTTGTGTGTATGTGTGTGTGTGCTAGGAGGGCAGGCTTGTGTGTGTGTGCTAGGAGGGCAGGCTTGTGTATGTGTGCTAGGAGGGCAGACTTGTGTGTGTGTGCTAGGAGGGCAGGCTTGTGTGTATGTGTGTGTGTGCTAGGAGGGCAGGCTTGTGTGTGTGTGCTAGGAGGGCAGACTTGTGTGTGTGTGTGCTAGGAGGGCAGACTTGTGTGTGTGTGCTAGGAGGGCAGGCTTGTGTGTGTGTGTGTGCTAGGAGGGCAGGCTTGTGTGTGTGTGCTAGGAGGGCAGGCTTGTGTGTGTGTGCTAGGAGGGCAGGCTTGTGTGTGTGTGCTAGGAGGGCAGGCTTGTGTGGGCGGTGCAAGTCCGGGAGGGGGTGCGCGGCTCTTGGCAGCCCTCCAGCCGGTAATCACTCCCATCTGCGACCCAGCCACGGCACAGGCGAGCCTTTCAAACTCCGTTTGCACAAATATTTGATCACAGCCCACCGAGATGCCAGCCCAGCTCCTCCAGGGAAACGGGGCCGGGGCTGCTCGGCTCAAAAACCCCTGTGTGTAAAGAAAGCAAAACTCAAATCTTTCCAACTATTTTGTTTCTCTTTCATTCTGCTGATCTCTTGTGGAGAATAATAAAGACATACATGCGTGTCTGCTCACCCCCTTCTGAGTGTAAACACAGCACGCTCTCACAGCCTATTGAAACTTTGCTCTCCTCATTTTTCACACACAAATAGTAATTGATTGTTAGCGCAACAGCCAACATGTTTGGTTTATGTTAACATCAGTTCTGTCAGCGCTTCGTTTTCTATTAAGACTGCAGAAATATAGCAAAATTCGATTTAGCAAATACATCTACCATGTAGCATTATTCCTATTACCAGACATCGTGAGATATTCTAGTAATCCAATTCTATGGAGGCAAAGGTTCATGGATTGAATTGATTTGTTAAAACTCACTAGACTGCAAGGTGGCCAATAGATGGCAGTACAGCAGGTGGGATTGTGAACCAGTCTGTGGAGATCTTTGAATATTGTCTTTGCTCGTGTGGATTCTATCCAGGCACTCTGGTAATCTCTTTGTAAAACACTCCTAAAAATTTCACCAAAAGGTCCCAATGCATGGTCTGCCTGAAAAGTGTCTTAACCCAGGAACGCTTTTGAATAAATATGATAATTTATTACATTAAAAAAATGTAACCAAATTTGGGTTCTAATAATTCCAAACTATTTCTGGAATGAATCGTCGGCTGGATGCATGCATCCACCCACCCACCCAGGGGGACTTTCTACCCAGGCGGAGCCTAAACAGCCAGAATAAGCCGGCAGATACCTCATAAGTGTTTCTCGGCAACCTCAGTGACAAATGTGGTCCCATGTGCGAATCGCAGCACCGTGCGTAGGCGACCAACCTCACCCCCCTGCACGGTCACCCTCCATCCTCAACTCAAGACTCAAAAAAGTGCCGACTCGCACGAGGAGAGGATGTCAAGCCGTGACGTAGGCTTCTCGGAGACTGGCGGAAGAGGTGGTTTCACCCCATTTCTGGACACGCTGCATTACTTTATGCTGAAATAAAATCAGTCACGAAATGTTTTTATTGGCTCTCGTTGAGCAAAGTCCGTGGCTTCATGCCTCAGCGTGTGAGGTTTGTAGTGTGGGCACTGCGGCTGAGGCCAAGGGCCCCGTAGCAGCTGCTGCTGGTCACCATCAAGAGCCGCGCACCCTCGAGTTGCCTGCACTGTGCCTCCTTGGAAGCCAAATGCACTCGAAATGCAAGGAACGTGAAGAAGCACGATGGGTGACGAGAGCTCGCTGGGTGAGGTGCAGGGCAGCTTCCCTTCCGGCGCCAGCACTCAATGGAAGTAGCAGCAGGCTGGGGGAGGCCCTGGGTGGGGTTTGTCTACAAGAGCCAACCTCTACAACCATAAATCAGAAGCCATCCACCTACGCTGTCCCCCGCAGCCCTCTTCATCACAGACATGATTACAGCCTCTGTTAAGCTCCACAGCCCTGCGGTTGCCTCCGATGAAAGCGCTGGCCGACCGTCAAATCAAACACGGCTTGAGCATCAGACAGAGCCGGGCTCACCCAGGATGACTGTGCAGTGAGGCTCCATCCTTGTTTGTTTCAAGAGGTTCTTTAACAGCAGCCCACTCTGGAGGAAACCCGTGTAATGTAACTCTACTTGACTTTGTTGTGAAATGTGACTTAAAGAATGATTGCCATTAAAAGCGTAAACCACTGAACACAAACCTCCACTTCCTGTGTTGACCACAGTGGTGACAGTATGTCTCCAGTGTTAATCTCAGGCGTTTATTTCGTATTTGATTATTTTCCTTTTAACACACCCCGAGCGCAAGACATTTTGTTTTGGTCTCTAGTTATCATTAGAAAAGGGCAGGATTTATTGTCCTGAATGGTTAGGTTACTATATTTAACCAACTCCCAGTTCCCAGAGCTGAGGTTGAATAGTGCAAATTCCAGGCTGGCCATGGGCTATGTTTGGCTGCAGCAGATGAATGTACTTATGTTAATGTTTTAATCTGCTTGCAAGCAAGCAAACACAGCTCAAGCATTCATAAAAATTGCCAAGTCCCAATAATTTCTGCATTTCGCTGCAAGTGTAAAAGTCGCAGTTTGCTCACGTACCCAGCGGCACGTGCAGCTACAGCGACTAAACACGACACCGTCACGTCTCTCGAAGCCCCCCCACAGCGGAGCTCACTCACAGGCAGCGTGTGACCCAGCAGTGCGAGCACTCCCGGGCGCTGCACAAGCCCACTCCGCCGCATAGTTGTAAGTTGTGTTTTAATCACGAAAGTGTTACCCAAGCATACATGTTGTCACTGCCTCCTTACGGTTTGTATTATTCCTTTATGCGTCTCTAATAAATACCATTTGGTTTATAGTGTCACACCGCAGATGATGTATAGATGTTTTGTCTTGAAACCCGTTACATGATATGTTCCCTCCTCCGCAAAACGAAAGACACCGCGCCTCTGAAGCACTAAGCATGGGTAGGAGGAGTGGGGTATTGACAGAAAACTCAAACCAGACTCCCCCAAACGAAGCCCGATTCTCATGAACAGTAGAACATCATCTCGTTCAGCCACCCAACCTTGTCACCAAGGGTCCTGGTGTACACCAAACTAACTACACCCAACACGGGACACCCCATCATCTGAACACGTGACAGTGCTCCTGGTGCCTCCAGGGAGCGAATGAACCTTGCTTCTCCGACACTGGTGGCCAGCGTTTAATTCCGAGCGTCTCATATTTTGTTCCCTTCCTTTTTTTTTAAACAACCACAAATATTCCATAGAGAGCACCACTGCAACGAGAGCACATTTTTAACTTGCATTATTTAGTCTACGGGGCTGCTTTCCTTGCCTTTGCGTATGTTGGCCAGGCCGATGGAAGGAGCGGGAGGTGGAGGTGGGAGCAGAGGCTGCCTCTGGGTGCCCCATGCTCATGGAGATCAGGGCCCTTACCTGTGGGGCTGTGCGGCCGGGGCCCGTGCGTGTAAGTGTCGCGTCCTCCTCGCCCCGCAGCATGCTGATGAAGTCCTTCTTGGTGACGGAGGAGAGCACCTTGGCTCTCTTGCGCTCAAGACCGCCGGCTTCTTTCACTTTTTTCTCCATTCCCTTTTGGTGTTTTCGCACAGCATTGAAGAGCGTCACCACGCCCCTGATACAGCACGGGACAAACAAGTGCGTCATCGTTACCACATCGCCACTATTATTATTATCATCCGCTCTGAAAAAAAGATTTAAAGATTCCCAGCTTTTCACAGTGACACATCTCGTAAGCATTTTGTTCAGAGTGATGATGATGATGCATCCAAGAGCTCAGCTACGGCTACTGCGGTCGGCGCAACGTTTCAGAGATGAATCGCATTCATTTCACTTCGGGGAAGGTCCCGCGCCGAATGCTGATGGCGTTCTCAAAGAAAAGCAGGACACCTTCGAGATGCGGAGGGGTTGATGGGAACCAGAGCATTGCTAAGATAAATTGTGGAAAAATGTTTGCACTCCTAATATCAGTGCAGTTATACATTATTAATCTTTCTTGCATACTTTTTAAAAATGCCGTATTAATTCATGAACGACAACAGTATATACCATTACAGAAATATCTGAAGCTGCATTGCAGTAATGATACCTCAAGCAAAGTACAGTATTCAATATGAGTTCCATGAAAAGTCCCTTTGGTTAAACGTTTAAAAAAAGGCTGAGGAAACCTGCCGACTGTGGTGGGCAGCAGGCCCCAACGCTGTGCCCACCCCCACGTGTGCTACATTTTCCACAAAGTATTTTATATTTACTTGAAACATACCAAAACCAGCTTCAAGAAATCCCGACATTTTTCCATTTTTTTTTCCATCTCATTGTTACGTAACAGATTGTAAAAATGTACTGTCCACAACATCTGAAACTGCAAGTGGCCCCATTTAACAACCAAAACTAACACACCTATTATGCCCAGCTCTTTTATATTGATTGGACATACAACCAAATGGGCACTGCTTTCAAAAGATTCATGTTACGTCTCGAGGAGCCAGTCGGGACCACTTGGCCTTGTCGGGTGAGCACATGATGACTGCGTGCCTGGAAGACCGGGGCTCACCGTGGCTACTTGGCGGGGTGGCTCGCATGGCATTCCATGCAAACAGGACCATACCGTGCGCTGGTCAGAGAGTTTCTGCATACATTTGGAAAACCTTTCAGGTTTCTGACCAATATTTCACGTGAACCTGAATGCCCAAGAAAAGTGAGCCGTTGAACCATCGAAGGCTGTTGTGTTTGTACAGCTGCTTCTACTCCAATCCAGCCCATCACCATATCATCATCCCACCCACGGCACAGCATCACAGCCAATTGTGGACCAGTTTCCAAAGTAATAATGGCTAGCTAAGGGGGGGGGGGGGGTGTTTCGTTTCTCCTTGTCGTGAGGCACAGTGGGAAGAGGTCACAAGGGTCAGAGTAGTGTTTTGTAAGCAAAATAGACCCCAAACAAATCCCTGCCACAAGAGTGGATGCCAAGTCACTGAAATGTATCTTATTAGTCATCATCTATAACATACAGTACAAATCCCACATCAGCTTCACATACAAGTACTTGCAGGAATCCTGTTGCTCACATTTAACAAATGCTGTGTTTGTCTCCAACCTCCTTGAGTTGAACAACTGATTACTATATACTTTATGAATACAGGATTATATGTCACGCATGTATACAAAGGGCCCTAAGTCAATGAGTACAAACTGACCTCTATATAAGAACAGGTTAACCACAAGCGCACTTCACACTACATATGCTATTAAATCACTCCTTAATTGCGAAAAGCATGCTTCAGAACAAAAACACATTTATGAACTTGAAAAATGCTCATTTTAACATGCAAAGCTTCCTTTGCATTCCTGAGACAAACCCAAATGAACCTGGAGAGGTACTTGTCATTTTGTTTCTGCACAACAAAATGACGACAACGACTTCACCCACAGTTCAACAGCAGATAAACGTAGGCCTCTCGAAGAAAGCGGCTTGCGGGAGAAACAAAGCCTGCAGGAGTGACTTGCTTGGCTGTATTCTTTGGTTCTTTTGGTAAAGTCACGTAGGTGAAAAAAGAAAAGAAAAAATAAATACATGTATTTATTTAATAAAAAATAATAATCTTAGGTTTTTTCGGTAAAGTCACGTAGGTGAAAAAATTTAAATGAATAAAAGTAATATAAGATAAAAATTAAATAAAAATCACGACGTTTCGGAGGCAACACAAGCTTCCGTCTTCAGGTGGAACCGTCACAGCACGCTTGCTGTATGCTGTATTAATTTTAATTTTTTTTACCTACGTGACTTTACCGAAAAAAACCTAAGAATATGAATCCTTGCAGTCACGAAAGCTTCAAATCTAGAAAAAAAAAATTTGTATAAATATTTTTTTTTCACCTACGTGACTTTACCGAAAGAACCAAAGAATATGGATCATTGCCGTCACGGAAACTTCAAATCTAGAATTGATTGGCTGCCTTTGCCCGGAGGTGTCTCCGAGGAGGAGGCTGCCGATGCGTCTGCACACCTGGTGGCCACTCTCTGCAGATTCCGCTCTCGGTCACGGTCCTTGGTGGCGTCGGGCCTCATCCGGCACATCTCCTCCCACTGCTGCTGCTTTTCAATCTGCAAAAGACGTTAAATGACCACTGCCGTTTAATTTTACGCTAATGGGTTTCCACCTGCTTAGAAATAAAGAAAACATTGCATTGATGGAATATCAACCGTAACATTTATGGAAAGCTAACTTGTTGGATTTGTCTGGGTAAAAACAAAGAGCAAATGTAACCAATTAATTCCAATATCGGTTAAAAAGATAAAAACCCGTTACCTGTTTTCTCAGCTTTTCTCGCTGCTCCTTTTCCTCTTCCTTTGCCTTTTCAATGTCTTTGCTTTTCACGAGAATAGCTGGTTTACTTTGGGGTATTTTCTTGTTCAGGATCTTGGCCATGGCATCAGCCCAGCCGGAGGGGCCGTCGTCTGTTGTTTCCAAATCGTTGCTCTCATCGTCATTATCACTTGCGTCTGCATCTCCAGCGTCCTCGGCGTCGCTCCCAGCGTCCGAGGCTGCATCCAGTTCGTCTTGGTCCACCTTCTCCTCCTGGTCCACCTTCTCCTCCTGGTCCAGCTCCTCATTATCCTCCTCCTGGTGGTCAGGGCTGCACGGCGTGGGTTCTGCATTCACAAGACAAACGTTAACACTGGAATCGCGCGCTGCTACTGCAATCGTTGACGAATGGCGCCACCCACTGGACGAACAACCACACGGCAACGCGAAGAGCGCCCGTGGTGCCCCGTCCGCATTGTTCGTGTCTCGGGGAGGAGGACGGGGCTCGATCGCCTCATCACGCCCCGGCCCCGTAGCGGGAGTGAGAAGCAACAGAGGACCCCAACTCAGCTACGTGTCGAGAGCGGAACATCCCGATGAAGATGTTTCGCTTTCCCCAACGCTCACCTCTTCGATCACCCGCCCCTCTCCCCCTTTAGCCCTCGCCCACCTCTTTTCAGCATATCGGCATTCATCCCCTCATTTGTTTTTTACCCACACCTCACATTCTCTCAATCCCACACATCTCGTACTCCTCTCCCTCCTTCATATGTCTACTCTACACCCCCCACCTCCTCCCCCACCTCCTCCTCCCCCCCACCAACTCCCCCCCACCTTCTTCCCCCCCCCCCACCTTCTCCCCCCCCACCTCCTCCCCCCCACCTCGTCTCCTCCCTCACCTCGTCTCCTCCCCCTCCACCCCCTCCTCCCCCCCACCTCGTCTCCCCCCCCCCACCTCGTCTCCTCCCCCCACCTCCCCCCCCCACCTCGTCTCCTCCCCCCCACCTCCTCCCCCCCACCTCGTCTCCTCCCCCTCTCTCTCACCTCGTCCCCTCCCCCCACCTCTCCCTCACCTCTCCCTCACCTCTCCCTCACCTCGTCTCCTCCCCCTCCACCCCCTCCTCCCCCCCACCTCGTCTCCTCCCCCCCACCTCCTCCCCCCCACCTCCTCCCCCCCACCTCCTCCCCCCCACCTCGTCTCCTCCCCCTCTCTCTCACCTCGTCCCCTCCCCCCACCTCTCCCTCACCTCGTCTCCCCCCCCACCTCGTCTCCTCAACCTCCCTCTTCCTCACCTCGTCTCTTCTCCCCCACCTGAACCTCCCTCTCTCACCTCGTCTCCTCACCCTCCCTCCCTCACCCCCACCTCGTCTCCTCTCCCCCACCTCGTCCCCTCTCTCCCACCTCGTCCCCTCTCTCCCACCTCGTCCCCTCTCTCCCACCTCGTCACCTCTCTCCCACCTCGTCACCTCTCTCTCTCTCGTCTCTCTCTCCCTCACCCCCACCTCGTCTCTCTCCCCCACCTCACCTCGTCTCTCTCTCCCTCACCTCGTGGATGGTTCCCAACTCCGCTCCTCGTGCTCGTGGAGACGGCCATGTTTCCGGAAGTGAGGGGTACGGTGCGCGGGGAGAGACGGGAAACGCAGCGAGGGGGAAACGCGGTCCGGGTTTTTAGGTTCCGGGTCTCGTTGGTGCAATACGAAAACGTGCGTTCTCGAATCTGCCCACCCCGCCTTCATAATCAGTCGTTATTTGGGCTTTCCTCCTTAGCCTTGTCTAAATCAACGTGCACGAACTACATTGCGATGAGAATGGGGTATTTTTCCTTCCCCATAAGTATTGGAAACCCAGTGAACGGAGGCCAAACAGTAGATTGCCTCTGGTAGAATGTTCTTGTCATCCATTGCACATTGCTCCATTGCATATTCTGTGTTGCGTGTTATTAATTGTGCATTGTGTTTTCCTGTGTATGGTTTTATGGGAGGTGGTTGCAATAACACGGCGTTCTGGCCTCTACAGGGCAAAGATAAATCATTCGCTTTGCTTTGCCTGAATTTGTATGTAAACCTATGGTGGTGTGTGCGAAATGCCAACGTTCTATTTGACTTTATTGGCAATGCCTTGATGTAATTCGGTTTGTAAGCCAAGCTCTGAGTTTGTGTTGTTGCTGCTGCCGTGGCAGTGTTAAAGCACAGCATAGCAAACAATATTCGGCATTATCACAAAGGGACATTACACACAAGACCGCATAATGAATCATGGACAATTCAGCTTTGTTACAGCCAAATACGGGTTCGTTAACCGTGTTGATCGCGGGAGTAACAAAGCCTGCGGGAGTGATTTGATTGGCTGTATTCTTTTGTTCTTTCGGTAAAGTCACGTAGGTGAACAAGAAACATATATAAATGTATTTATTTAAGAAATAATAATATTTTTTTAAATAAATAATTTTATTTTTCACCTACGTGACTTTACCGAAAGAACCAACGAATATGGATCCTTGCAGTCACGAAAACTTAAAATCTAGAATTGATTGGCTGCCTTTGCCCGGAGGTGTCTCTGAGTAGGAGGCTGCCGATGCGCCTGCACACCTGGTGGTGCCTTGCGGAGTTGTATACTATCTTTTGCTTTGTTGGTGGGGATTGTGGATAACACAAAGTATTCAGTGAAAGATGATTTAGTTCCATCAGGTTGGCAAGCATTGATCCATGAGATAAAATTAACTCACGGCACTCATCTTTTATTATTATTTCGTGCTGATAAACACCCTTTTCCGCTAACAGTTATATTTTGAGCTCTTTTATCGAAGTTGTGGCCATGTGGGAATCCCTTCGCAGTGTCAACACCACCAGCACATTTGAGGATACCCATAAACAGAATTCTTACCTTTAAAGGCTGTGACAATCACAGAAAACCAGACACCAGATACTTCCACAGCCTCGTGACATCAAACAAACGCCAGACACACCATGCCCTGCCATCAGACATGTGCCACTGATACAAAAAAAAACCACCAGAAAAAAACAGTCCCAAAGATACAATTAATATTGAGCATACTGACACCAGGCTTGTTAATAAACAGACATCTCATAAATAACAGGCAGATACATTCCGCCAACTTACACCATCTCACTGACACCAGACATATATATCCCGCCGACACCAAAGAGACACATCCCAAGGACTCCCAGCAAGTGGCGTGAGTGGCTGAGAGGTGAGCTGCTCCACGAGCTCCATGAGCCCAATGGAGCCGAGATCGAGGACCCCCCCCCCCAGTACTGGGCCACTCCGGTTGGCTGATGGATAGAATGAGGCCAACGACGGATCCCAGACTGATACAAGCAAAGCGAGTAATTTCAATAATTTGCATTTGCAAGCACAAAATTGCAATTGACGGGTGGCAGAGCTTTTTCCCAGGTGAATAAAGACACGATTTCCATCAGCGTGCTGCCCGCTCTGCTCCCGTCCTGCCAATCGGTGGGGCCCTAATGGGTCTGGCCCTGAGTGGGGCTTGCCATTGTAACATGGGCTAATTACTGTGACCCTTGCACCATTAACCACTACGTGAATGGGTATTTCTTTTTTTAATAGACCAACAATGCATTTAATTTATATCACGTTATGCAAATGTTAAATATACATATTATGAAGTAACATACACACGTTTAATACAATTTAATCACATTAAATATACAATTGCTCTCACGAAGCCAGTGTTTGCACGTGCACACGATGGATGTGCAGTGAACGTGGCCACTGTGTAAGAGAAGTCGCTCTATTGGAGTTGGGGTTGGGTGGCTGATGTAATGCGCAGTTGTGAGCCCATGGCGCCCTCTTACACGTTGTATGTATGTTGAACTTATTTCGTACCGTACGCAGTCAACCGTACTAATCGTAGGGGGAAGGACAACAAACTAAACACAAAAAGCAGTTACAGTATAAAGAAATGAGTTTGTTAATCGAGGCGATTTAAAAGTGCATCGCTCCTCCAGTGACTTCCGAATATCGGAATGCAGAACTTTCCAGACGGCCGCGGAAGCGCGTCTGAAAGCGACAAAAAAAGTGAAATGCTTTGGTCTCACGAGCTGAAATGCAACGTGCAGACGTGCGGAGTCGGTTGGTGCACGCAAGGCAAGCGTGGCCGCGTGTGTGGGGGGGGGGGGTGTTGGAACACTCGGTGCTCCAAGCGCCGAGATGATGGATGGAGGAGCTCCCTTCTGACGTCGGTGCACGCATCCCAAAGCGGCTCCACCAGTGCCTCAAATTTACGCAGACAAATTGATGTCTGGGGAGAAAGTCAGTTATATTATATGCACATAACGTCGCTCAAATTTGCAGTGCTTGGCATATGGTTTTATGATGGCAGGGGGCAGGGGCAGGCATGATGGGTTGTAGATAATTTATGTTTTATTGTGCTGCTGTTAAAATAGTTTTAAAATCACAGGACATGTGAAATGCTGAGCAGCCATTTTCTAGGCACTGATGCGTGTCTCGTGTAATATTGTCTTTGCCTTCTGTGATCTACTGCGCTCTCTGCTACCTGGTTTTTTTCCCCTCTTCTCTACATCAGGAAGTCACTTATATATACAGGACTCATACACATGCAGTGTGCACAGTTTATCACCGTGTGCTGTGTCAATGCACGTAGAGTATGATGTTTTATTGTTACGGTTTCAGTGATCACACAGTTTGATTACAGAAAAAAATATAACAGCACGATGGTTTCCTGCTCGAGGACAGACACGTGGGTTATTGCTTCGTAAATGCAAAGCTTATACGCCATATACTCCTATGTACGTACAAAGTTGAATCATCCCTGTGTTAGTGACTAATATATTAGTGATTCTCAAACGCTCAAATGTTGATGGGCATCAATATTTTAGGGCAAGGAAGAGAACATTTTCACATTATTTGCTTCAACAAAGCATATCATCGTTGTACAATCTGTGGCTGAAGAGGGCATGGCATGTTTCGTGGCAGGGTATGGTATAATAATTTCAACTTGTAACGCGCACAGCATTCGCTCGCTCTCGAAGAGAGAGAGAACGTCTCAGAGGCGCGAGGAATCACAGACTAGCAGGAAAAGAAGCCACGTGGGCACCCGGCGCCAATTCACCCGTCCCCCCAAGGTCTGAGGTCCTCGATATATTAAGGTGTTATCGGACAATTATAATCAGTGACTTAAAGCTTTCGTGACTGCAGGAATTCATATTCTTTTGGTCTTTCGGTAAAGTCACGTAGATAGGTTGAGATTAATAAAAATAAAGTAAGCAAAAATAAATTAATCGTAACCTATCTACGTGACTTTACCGAAAGACCCAAAGAATAATTATAATCAGTGTTTACCTTGTTAAAACCCACGCGAGCTCGGGAGCAACATTCTGTCCCATACAGACGGAGTCCACATTTGCTGTACCACCTCCTGGCGAGCCATGGTTGGGCACCTCGCCCACAGGAAGGCAGCGTCACAAGTCCACAGTGCTGTATTACAGGCGTGCACCACCGCTGTCCAGCTACTTGGCAGTTCCAAGAATAAAAATGCAGGTATCTATCATATGCTAAACCAGGACTAGTTATTCACATACATTCTAAATTGTTCAAATGCAGGTTGATGGGATAAAATATAGCAGCTTCTATGTTGCAATCTATACTCTTTTTTTCATTAAAGCAACGCAAATCTTTTTTGAGCCATGTATAAAAAAAGTGTACACCATGAAAGTGCACAGTTATCAAGGCTGAATACAACCTGCATTAATTTATGATTCCTGTACGGCACCTTAACTCACGCGATTTAAACCCCAGCAGGAGGCAGTGCGAAACAAAGTGAGCACCGAGATGTGGGCGCGGTGGTAGTACGAGGATGAGGCGCCAACGGAGCCACCCTGCGCTCAGTCCGTGCACCCATGTCACCTGGAGGTGCCTTGAGTCTTCTCAGCGCTCGACGCAGGAGGGCAGGGCATGAGTGTGGCCACAGCAGGGCACTGCCCCTTCAAATGGAGCCTCTGATTTCACACCCTATTAACTTGAGGCCTGCTAAGGTTAATGCCGTCCCCTGTAACGTGCCCAAAGAAAAATATTAATACATTCTTCCTGTGATTCTGCAGCACCTGGTATGTCCTTCCAAATTGAGCGCTAATGGAACCACTCTTCCATTTAGCCCCAGAGCCGAGTGTGGAAAATCTCAGCGGACGGCTCTTGTAGAGTACGCTGACCTCACTTATCATTTTAGGGGGGAGCTGGAGTGACTTGGTTAATTTTATCAGCCAGATTTGATCCTCCCACGTGTCCATTCTGCACTTTCCGCAGGCCCATTGCAGCCATCATTCCACTCACGCCGCAGCACTGCCAGGGCAGTCGGGAGTTGCGTGAACGCCTCCGTATTGTTTAAACCTCTTATATGCACGCCCAGAATTATTCTACCTTTTTATTTCCAAATGATTATGATGCCTTCTTAATCGTGACGTGTAAGCATGATAGATGAAATAATAAACTGAATTAAATATCTCGTCAAGACTGTGCCATTGGCTATGAGACAATTATAAAACATGAATTTTGTTGAACATATTTGAAAAATAACTGAATTTAATGATCAGGAAATGAAAATGAATACGTTTGCATTGACAATGACAGAAGGGGTGGCATGGGGATGAAGATGCATCGGTGTTAGGAGTAACT